TTATATATGTTGTCCGACTTACCGAATAAATTTTAGATATAAAAAATAAAGGTTGAGTGGTTTTGTCCGACTTGGGCCAAATCCGACTTATCGAGTGTCCGACTTATCGAGTTTTACTGTGTATAATCAGCAGTAGATCAATGCACCGAAAATAAAAACAGAGTCTAGTTTCCAAAATAAAAACATTCTATAGGTAAAAGGCGAGCATGTTTTCGGAACTTGACTGATGCAGACTTTACGCTATTATTCTTATAACGTCATCAATAAGATATTATCAGTACCATCTCTGTGACAATTATAAATCTATAGCTAGTTAACTAGTAAGCACGTACCTATAATTTGTTACAATAAACAATATATTGATACACGTTTCTGCTTTACTATTGGTTAACAGTCGCAAATTTTTATGCACCTTACCATATGATTGACAACATTTATACCTACTTATAAGGCTACGTGCGAATATCATCAAGTAGTATTAATATGTGTCATTTGAACGCGAAGACGCCACACGTCTAACCATGCGTACATATATATCCAGACTACACACACATGACAATGAACGATCATTAAAGGCAAACATTTCATTGTCACCACTTTATATTACGACATACAACACGAACAAGTCGTCTCTTAAACTCAATAACGACACAACCTATCGACTAACTAATGGAAAAGTTCTATTCAGATTACTGGATATGCATCGTTTCGCAAAGACCACCCACGTATTTACAACGAACAATTCTTTACTTCACTCTGCATACAATTCGCTATAACTTACGAGCCCAAATTAAGAAATTATTAAAAGGAGAATTACAGAGCGGTAAGCAACTTACTAGCACGCCCCTCTGATCTTTCATTAGTTCATCCTACTCTTCCAATAAAGTTGGAATTCTATACATTATAATGACAATAATTGATTGCAATCAGCCAAGCGGGTGGTCCAGGATTACGATATGTACTTATCCCTAATAACTTTTAACTACACGATGTCGACTAATCGAATAGAAACCTAACGGATAGTGCTGTGTTTAGGATGGATAAGTTAGATCGTGTCATGAAGGCTGTTCATATTTTACTTGTGCGAAGAGTCAAGACTGAAATATGCTGCATCGAGTTTATTATACGTATATACACGACGAAAAGTGCAAAAAAATGCCCACATTCCGTTCATTTTCAAATCTTTGTCCCGAACCTAATAGGACTACGGATTATTAACCGGAGAAGCACAACCAAGAGATTTCTATTCGATCCGTTTCTTAAATCTCAACATCAACTCGTGACAACGGATTAAGGCTTCATACTTGTACTTTGGTTTGGTATCCGGTGTAGCCAATTCAGGATCAAATTTTCGGAATATCATTGCGATAATAATTTTCATTTCAGTCATAGCCAAATGCCTGCCTGGACATATACGCAGACCACCTCCAAACATAGGAAATTCATTCTTCATGCTGCCGCTTTGTTTCAAGAAGCGATCGGGATTAAATTCTTTTGGATCGGGCCAGTGTTTCGGATTTACTTGAATTCCAATGATACTAACGAATATCAGTTCGCCGCCCTATTTTGAGAAGATTAATGCGAATACGATGTTAAGAGAAATAACACGCATTATACGTAGTTACGTGTGTCTTATTTATTACCTTGATAGGATATCCACCAATTACATCATCCTTGTCAGGTAATCTGGAAGTGAAAGGTGTAACGGGATGCAGTCGAGAAACCTCTTGGATAACGGCTTTTGTATATTCAAGTTTGTTCAAATCTTCGTAGCTGATTAAACGAGTAGGATCCGTGCCGAGAACTGTGTCTAATTCGGCACGAAGACGCTTCTTGACCTCTGGATGTATGATTATACAATAGATTATGGAACAAATCAGGTTTGACGACTATATAAATAAAATCGATAATTAGAAAAAAAACTGGTTATTTCGTATAATCTCTAACAAAAATACTCGTAAAAATAAATAAATCTTACCGAATCAATACCAGCAGTTGTTATGTCCATGAAACAGTTTCCAATCTCTTCATCTGTTAGCGGTGGCTCAACAATACTCTCCAACTTTTTCGTCATGTCTTTTGGTGTATTCACCGCAGCCAGTAATGTCATTAAATCAGGTTTCAGTTTGACCGGCTCGTCAGTATTCATGATTTTCTTCTTCTTCTCTTGAATAATATTGATCAATACACTTCGTAACCAAACCAGGTTATCCAAATACTCTTTGGCCTTTTTGCGACCAAAGGGAGTCTTCTTACGAATAATCTCTGGCGTAAATCGGAAATACTTTAACGAACGGAAGTGCGTGTGCAAAGCTTTCACAAAGGCGTCTGATTCGGCAACTATTTCTTCCGGGTACGGAGCCAATTTGAGCGGGTTATGAGAATTATATAACATGGCCATCGTGCAGGCGTACTTGTCCATTGTCATGGAAAATAGCATGTCCGTAAAGAGCCGCGGAGCCCACTCGGCAAAGTTAAATTCTTTTTCATCGAACCCTAAATCAAGCAAATATCTTTCCATCTCCACAAACACCGTTTGTATCCATTCTATGACCGGGTCGGTGAATATGCTACTGCCAACAGCTTGAGCAAACATTTTCCTGTTAAAGGCCCACGTGGTTTTATTTCTGTTAAACACTATACCAGATGAGGAGAACCCTAGCATCTCGTATCCATGATTTTCCCATGTTCTGTGAAAATAGTTGCTGTTTCTTGAAGAATTCATCAATTTCTCTATTAGATCGGCTCTGGCCAACCACACAATCTTCGCAGTGCCAATATACGTTTCCCATACGTCACCATATTTCTCCTGACAGTGTAGCGCCCATTTACTGATATCCCCGGCAAACAATAATATCTGAAAGAGATTGCCTACTAACGGAAGCGGAAATGGTCCGGGAAGCGAGTTTGTGCGAGTAAAGTACAAAATGTAAAACTTGATGACGTAGAGTATAGAGATAATACAAAAGACGTTCACGACATCCCGGAAAGAAAAAAGCGAAAGAATCTCGATTATCGTTGACATGTCGAATGAAATAGATAGAATAATGTGGTCCGTAGTGTGGGGTATGAGAAGATATATAAACAACGAAGAGTCATTTTTTTAACTCACTTTTGTGTAATCAGAAAAAGAAGCCTATCTGTGGTATAACAGTAACGGCGTCTCTCATTGATTGATCAGATTAAGGTTTCGTCGTGCTAACGCAAAGAGAAATTTCGTTTCGGAATTGACATGAAGGATAAAGAGATCTTCATACGTTATGCCTATTGACTTTTTCAAGCATCAGGTGATTTATGATATCATCAATGATCTACTATTAATATCAGAAAGGTCTCTTACGCATCTGTGAAAGTGGGGTTTTATATATGAGCGGGTCAATTTTCTTCGATGCTCTTAATTTAAGCGGCGGTGTCAAGTCAGATAATTTTATTGAGCCTTGCGAGAGAAAAAGCCTTCTTATTTTACTTTCCATGCAATAACATAACAACAGGGGAATTGGTCAAAGGCAAATGAAATGAGTTGCTTGATTTTTTCAATGTAAATACAGTATCTAAATATTGATTATTCGCCTCTGCAATGACTACGTACAGTATGATGTTCGGCTATTCTTGTGTGATATATGTAATTTGGTTATACTTCGATTTTACGTAGAGGGTATATGTTTTCATATTCTACATTAATGTGATAGAAATGGTATGTTAGTTTGCTAGCTCGCTTGGATAATAAACATTGTATAATGAGAATTGATCTTTGGAAGTCAGATTAAGCCATCGCGAAAGTCACAAGCCCGAAAAGCATTTCCATCAGTAAAATAAGACATTTTGATTACATTATATTATTGCCTTCTCTTAGTGAATATATGAGGGCTATTTTGAAACGCGTATTGAGGAGGGAAAAATTAATATTATGAGTATTTATCTGTTAAATAAAAATACAAACAACTGAACGTTAATTGTGACAAGACAGCAGATAAGCGTAAGCGCGGTATTACTTTTACGAAAAGTTGACGTTTTACACTGGGAGAGTGAGGTTGTCTTCGATAAACTTGGTTATCATAAGATACTTTATTCACCATGCAAAGAATACTGTAGCGAATTTTCCTACGAATACACGTATGTTATTAATGAAATAAGCAAGATCAGTTTTCAAAATTATAGAAATTCCTGATCTCATAAACGAAAAATTTTCGAAAATTGTGATTAACCAATCAAATGCGCGTATATTTATTTAATATTATCAAGTGAGCGCGCTGTTTCGATCATGATTACTCAAATAAACCAGACAATATACTATCTATCGCCTTATGTTACGTTTGCCAACTCTGTTTATTATGTAAAACTAATGACGTCTTTAATGCAAGTGGATTGTCCGGTTCAGTCTCAAGAGCCTTGTCCAAACCAGTCAATGCCTCATCAAATCTCTTTAACGATCTGTATATCTCACTCCTGTTTCCCAGTGCAAACACGTTTTCAGGATCCTGCCTCAAAGCCCAGTCAAGATTGACAAGCGCCTCTTCATATCTGTTCAGCACTTTGAACACCTCTTTTCTGCTTGCTCGAGTAAATTTCTTTCCATTCCGTTAACCTATTGTTGGAATTCACATTCTAGAGACAGCAAATGGTCACATCATACCATAGAAAGTTGATCTCACCGCAAAGACGAAAAACTGTTAATGAATTAGAGGATAACGAAAAAAAGATATGGAAGAACGAATAAAGAGCGGCAAAAGCAGCCTTCGGAATAGTGGCTTATGAGATGACTCACTAATTCTTATCCTTATTCGGATTCAGTTCATGATAGCTATTTAGGAATAAAAGTTTACACTTCTTTAGTCAAAATCAAAATTATTATTGCATTCCTTGATTTGCATTAAAATTATTGGATAAAATCATGATCGTACGATAATTTGCGGTAAAATTATTGGTAAAAGTTTTAGCATTGCGGTTAGACTGTAAGCATAGTCGATTTCGATCTAACCGCTTGCTTTGAACAAGCTTTCAGCATTACGGTTTAATCTGATCGTGCGATGATTTTTGTGAAATGATTAGATTGCATATGATATTATCTAACTAAACGTGCAATATTGCAGTTTGACAGGCTAAAAACTTTGACACTGACCTGTTATTTCGATATGAGATAGGCATGCTTCCATACTTGATATCAGTTTCAAGTGCAACTTCAAGATATAATTCATATTCGATGATTTAAGACATTTGCTCTATACACTAACGATGACAAAACAATCGATATGGCACAAGCGCAAGACAATGGGTATCGTTATATTGTACACATGAGGGACCATTTCACAAAGTTTAGCTGGGCAAGAGCAATTAAACAAAAAACGGCAGATAATGTGGCTCAATTTATTTATGAAATTTTCTTAATGTTCGGCCCGTCCTCAATACTCCAGTGCGATAATGGGAGCGAATTCTCTCATATTGAGGAAAGACTTGGTAATTTATGGCCAAATTTGAATGTAATTCACGGACGACCCCGTTACCCTCAATCACAAGAATGATAGAAAGGGCCAATGGTATCATTGAAAAAAAAATCGCTAGATGGATGGACACTTATAAACAAACAAATTGGACGAGTATTCTGGGTCGAGTAATTTATATGATGAACTGTGAGATATCTAGAACTACCAAAGAAAGACCATATAAACTAGTTTTCGGAATTCCACCGTATTGGATAAGGTGTAATTGTTCGAATCTGGTGTGACGAAAACAATGACGAAAACAATGATGACATCAATGATGAAAACGAAGAAAACGAAGTTGAAGGTACAATAACTGCAGTTATATAGTGATTTTTTCATACATTATTGACTTAGTTTGTGCGATTCATTTGTAGTTGCATCAGACATCGACCCGATGGATTTGGCTGAGACTGTTACAGCTCAAGATGATGATATAGATACAGGTGTTTGGAATACATACTAATACATACATTAATAATGATGTAACCTACATTTTGATTTAAACTATTATTAATATTAAATGCGTTTAAATTTTTAGATGCTTTTGTACATACTAATACAGCCTCTACATCGAATGTGGAATTTAGTAGCACAATTGAGGGAGAAGGTATAAGCATTAATATTTTTGGAAGACGTAGACCATTTTAAAATTCTAACAGCTCGCATAGACCTTAGGGAAATGTGTGCAGAATCAAATGTAGACTTTTCGGATAGTGAGAACGATATATCTGGTAATTATTATTGTGCTACATTATTACAGTGGGAATACAACTTATTTTGCTAATATTCTTCCAATGATAATTTCTGGACTATAAAGAAAATCCTTTCAACGGACCAAGCGAAGATGAATTCAGATACAATTGGGATGAGTTTCAACAACAGATGAATGATATCTTCAGACAGCAGATAGAACCGCCAGATGTACCAAGAAAGTATATTCTTGATGCATTAATCGAAGTACGTGTTTTTGAAAATAGAGGCGAATGTTCATTAGAATCTGCAAAACTCTGGAGGAGCAAGTTAGACGGATGGTTAAAGAAAATGACAGAGTTGAGGATTGTACGCAAATTAAATAAAGGTAATAATATTAATGGTTGTGTAATAATGTTATATTAAATTAACATAACGCTTAAATATAGAAGCCAATAAACGTCAACCGAAACCCAGACCAGTTTCTAAATCCAAAGGCAAACTTCCAGAAACGGATTTCTTTATGAACAACACGTATGTAGTTCCGTGGAACCAATTACGGAGCTTTTGGATAGCCTATTTCGGACCACAAGAAGGATTTCCTCAAGGCGTTAGTATGAGAGAAGTTAGAGACACATTAAGACAATGTATGCGTTTTATAAACAGCCCTGGGGTAAATGTAGACGAAATGACTTCATGGAAGGAAAGATTCGAACGATGGATTAATGAAGCAGAAGATTTGACTCGGGCTAATGACGAGTCTGGTAATTAAGATCTACATACATAGATATCGTATTATAAATTTTATAGTGTGACAGTATTGTTACGGCGAGCTGATCGGCTGACGTCGATAGTAAGTCACATGGTAAAATCTTCCTCCGCAGTAATCAAACAA